ACCCTTTCATCCTCCCCCCAAACACAGGAGGCTCAAGTTACAACTGCTGGAAGTACACAGTCCTGCCTCCCATGTCTCAACTGGACCATCTGAGGTTTAGAGACTCCAGGTTAAGAACCTCTTAGCCCCGTAGTGACAACCTAGTCACTTTCAATATGGCGCAGAAGCAAGAGGACACTCGATATCTCATTATAGAACTGAAGATTCATGAGTCACTTCAAATCCTTGTGAGCTGTCTTCAGCATTACTTGCAGACTGGTGATGGGTGATGTTTCTCCAGCTCTTTATAGTACAAAAAACATATAGAAAAATGATTTTCTTTTTTGGATAGAGCCAAGCAAAGATTTAAAGATGGATTCCTGCAAATATTTTGCGCACAGTCTTACCCCAGGAAATTGAGTTTCCTTTTGTAACTGTTTCTCAAAGGACAAGCCTGAGGAAGGTCAAATTTGCTGGCACCGGTGATCATGACTTCAATTAGGTCAGTGGACTCGGGGTAGGCAGGTGGAAACAGGCTTCGTACCAACAGTATCCCTTTGGTTTTATCACCCCAGCTCTGGAGAACACTCTGGGTGTGCATGTCTCTTGTCATGGGAAGACTCCTTAGATGGAAATTTTTTTTTTTTTTGACAGGCAGAGTGGATAGTGAGAGAGAGAGAGACAGAGAAAGGTCTTCCTTTGCCGTTGGTTCACCCTTCAATGGCTGCCATGGCCGGTGTGCTGCGGCCGGCGCACCGCGCTGATCCGAAGGCAGGAGCCAGGTGCTTCTCCTGGTCTCCCATGCAGGTGCAGGGCCCAAGCACTTGGGCCATCCTCCATTGCCTTCCCAGGCCACAGCAGAGAGCTGGCCTGGAAGAGGGGCAACCGGGACAGAATCCAGTGCCCCGACTGGGACTAGAACCCGGTGTGCTGGCGCCACAAGGTGGAGGATTAGCCTAGTGATCCGCTGCGCTGGCCTAGATGGAAAATTTGACGCATAATTATTTATCAGTGACATTTATCAGCTAAGATTTATTGAGAAGCTACTATCTGACAAATGCTTTTTTTAAAAAATGTTTTTCTCATGTACTCCTCATGTCAATCCTGAGAGATGGACATTATTATTATTCCCATTTTGTAGATGGAGAAAGTTGCCTCCATTCAGCCCTAACAGGTGGAGAACTAGGATTCCATCTGGGCTGCCTGACTCTAGAGCCCGAAGCCCCTTGCCCCTCTCAGTGTGCTGTCTCTGTCCCACCTCCCTCAAGCTGAGAACAAGCGCTGTATTTTAGTGGGTGGTTGTCTTAGACAAGGATCTCTGCACTGCAGTCTGTGTTACATACAATGGCATGTTGGTTTCTCTGGATGCAGCCCTGGGGGAGGACAGCCTGGCCTCTAGTCTGGGCCAGTATCTGTTGTCAGGGCCTCCTGAGAGGCATTTTTGGGTGTCCCATGTGGGACTGGTTCTATCCTGTTCCAGGCACGGATGGTGAGGTCCTTTTTGCTCTGACTCATTTCTGGCTAACCTGGATTACTCGAGCTCTGCCCAAATGCCAAGCTTTGTCCACCATAGTGGGGCTCTTGCTAAGAAGCACTGACCACCCTGGTACACATCTCGCGTGTAGCCCGGGGGTGCTGTGCTGTGCTGGCGCGTGGTCTCCTTAGCAATGCAAGCACTTTTGTGCTGCACCACGGGCTGTCCACACTCAGTGCTGCTCTTCCTGGGCCCTTGTTCTCTGGCAGCTGTGCCTATGATCTCCAGGCCTAAGCTCCTTTCCCCACTCTCCTAGGAAAAGAACTTCCTGACGGGGATCTGAGCTGCAGTGGCTCTTCCTGTATTGCAGTCTTCTGTGTGTTTTCATGAACTATAGCGTGTCACCACACAGGCAGTGGAGGTGGCGGTGGCACCATCCATTCAGTCATGACACATCTATATCTATTAAGTACCTATTTATGTTCCAGGCACTGTGCTGAGTGCTGCCGTTGCCATGGTGACCAAGATAGACCCTGGTTCATAGTTTACTGTTTTTGAGTGAATCAGACACATGAACAGGTGATTGCAATACAATTTGGTGATGTTTCTGATAAGATGATAACAAGTATTTTGAGAGCAGGGGAAAGGGGAGCCGGTCTCAGACTGGAAGGCCTGAGACACATTATCTGGGGGAAGTGCTGGGTGAGTTCTGAAGGAGGGTGAGAAGTTACACTGCAAAAGAGGTTGGTGGTTGGGAAGCGAGGAGGAGAGTGCTCAGAAAGGAAGGAATAAGCAAGTCAGAGGCCTGCAGGCAGACGGAGTCTGGGCAGCCAGAATTAGCTCAGGATGGCTGAAACAAGGTCGAAAATAGGATGTGGCTAGATAAGAAGCTGGAGGGGAGAGCAGGTGGGGGATGGGAAGAGTGGCTGTTGTCCAAGCATTTTCTGCACTATGGAGGCGCCACTTGCTTTCACAGGCTGAACAGCTGCAGCCTGCATGCTGAGCGGTAGGGCCCGGGGCTGGAGAGTAACATTTATTGAGTCCGGCAGTGTGTTGGGGATGATGGGTGTGTTCAGAGTGCCTTGGTCCTCGACCCCAGGGGCCCTGACCAGCCAAATCCCTCCCTTCTTCTCTTGGTGGAATTCGTGTGCCTCAAGACCTGCTGGATTCTTCTTCCTGCCTCCGGCAGTGTTCTCCACCCTAAAACCAGGACCCATGGTTAAAGCCCTCTGCTGCCTCTGCTGCTGCCCCTTCCACAGCCAGGCTGGCCATGGCCATCATTGCTGGCATTGATCTTGCTGCTGTCTTGGCTATTTAAAGCTGAGCCAAGCCATTCATATTCAGAAGCAGGCCTACAGGGTAGAGGTATTATTGGCGTTTGTACAAATTGGGAAAGTACGGCTCGGAGGCATCAAATCACTTGTCACACACGCCATGAAGCTGTAAGTGACAGGACTGACTATGGACCTGGTCTGATTCCACAACCATACAACTGCGCCAGTTTCTGTTTAGGATCCCTCGGGTCTGCTCTTCTGGTTTTCTTACATACCCTTTTCTTGAATATTCATCTAGAAGGGTGCCTCAGATGTTTAACAGGTCAGGTAGAAAAGACCTAATTCAGACACTTCGAGAAGCCAGGAAGTGTTAAAGAAGGGAAACAGACAGCCTCACCCAGCTCCATTCCCAAGTTTGTTTATTTGTTTTTTTTAGTTTTTTTATTTATTTGAAGGGCAGAGTTGCAGAAGCAAATATGGATATAGATATAGATATAGATATAGATATAGATATATGAGAGAGAGAAAGAGAGAGAGAGAGAGTGAGTCTTCCATCCATTGGTTCACTCCTCAAATGGCTGCAATGGCAGAAGCAGGGTTAATCCAAAGCAGGAGCCAGGCGCTTCTTCCAGGTCTCCCATGCAGGTGCAGGGGCCCAAGGACTTGGGCCATCCTCCACTGCTCTCCCAGGCCACAGCAGAGAGCCGGGTCAGGATGCCCATATCCAATGCTAGCACTGCAGGTGGTGGCTTTACCTGCTGTATCACAGCACTGGCCCTAAGGTTTGAGACAGCCTCCCATCTCCCACTTTAAGATCATGGCCATAAGTTCCGATCTGGCCTGCTATTCTAAATTCCTCTCAGAGGATCTGGTGACTTTCTCTGCGCTTGGATGTTTAGGCAGCCCTAACATTTAGGTAACATCCTGAGTGCTGTTTGCAGGTGAGTTTCCTTCTTTATCCTCCTCTCCAGACCCTCCCTGTATGCTGTTTTTGGTTCACTATTATTTTTGTCACCTTCCTTCATTACCATTTTAATGTTCAATTTCCATGCTAACTAAAATAGATGCTTCTGTCCCTCTGCTCTCTCCTGCCTCTTCTCTCAAACACCAGCCAGGCCCGGAGAAAAGTCTGGTGGCTTCTACCAGAGGAGACGCGTTTGTTAGCTGAAACTCCAGTGTCAGACACGGGTACTAATGAGTCAGGCACCAGCTTTTATGCAGTGTCTCTCTGCTAACAGCACAGCTCTGCCTGCAGCCAGATGGCCCCAGCACTGTGCTTCTGAAGGTAATCTGGACTCTGTCACCAATTACTCTTCTCCTTCCCCGCAGCCAGTAGAAAAGGCAGTGTTCAAATCACAGGGCGTTTTCTCCAGAATAGCATTCCCTACCAAAAGGGCATATCATTGTTTCCAGCTAACACAGTCAAGACATTCTATAGAAGAAAAGCAGTTTATAGGGTGAGCACTCTGCAGTTTGGAGGACTCCGGGCTGAGAGCAAATCCTGGTTCAGTCCTTTACTAGCTCTGTGGACTAAGGGAAATCACATCATCTCTTTGAACCTCAGTTTCTCCCTCTGAAAAATGGGAATATTAGTCCACAGAGCTGTTACAAGGATTAGAGCAGCAAGATTTAAATAAAATAGAGGCTGGCGCTGCAGCTCAATAGGCTAATTCTCTGCCTGAGGCGCCGGCACACCCGGTTCTAGTCCCAGTCGGGGCGCTGGATTCTGTCCCGGTTGCACCTCTTCTAGGCCAGCTTTCTGCTGTGGCCTGGGAAGGCAGTGGAGGATGGCCCAAGTGCTTGGGCCCTGCACCCCATGGGAGACCAGGAGAAGCACCTGGCTCCTGCCTTAGGATCAGCACGATGCGCTGGCCGCAGCACGCCAGCTGCGGCGGCCATTGGAGGGTGAACCAACGGCAAAGGAAGACCTTTCTCTCTGTCTCTCTTTCTCTCACTGTCCACTCTGCCTGTCTAAATAAATAAATAAATAAATAAAATAGAGCAGCCTGGTTTTGACCCAGGAGATTTTATTATTAGTTGTAATTATTATCAAGGAAGCCACCTACATGTCTCTCTTCAGAAGGTCTGATGCATTTTCACTTCTTGGGATTCTCTGTGCCTACACAAGGCCCCCTATTTCCTCAAATGGCAACTTGCGGATGGGATCTTGCTCTCATAAATACACTGAATCTCACCTTTTGAATTACGTGATAAACAGTTGACAGCTTGCTCTCATTCAGCCACCTTCTGAAACATGATTGTGGTATCATTGCAGAATGAGGATGTGGAGTTTGTCCGAACCGGCTATGGAAAGGATATGGTAAAAGTTCTTCATATTCAACGAGATGGAAAATACCACAGCATTAAAGAAGTGGCAACTTCCGTGCAGCTCACTCTGAGTTCCAAACAAGATTACGTGTATGGAGACAATTCAGACATCATCCCTACAGACACCATCAAGAACACGGTTCACGTCTTGGCAAAGTTCAAAGGGGTAGGTGTCAGTCTTCTTGGACACCACCTGTCTTGGTGCAGAATTCACTATGCTATAGTATGGGCACGTGACTTGCTTATTTCCAGATTCTCTTACCTTTTAAGCTATTCTTACATTTAAACTATTTACAAAACTTTCTTCCTTTTTTTTTTGAAAAGATCTTTATTTATTTATTTTAGAAGTAGAATTACAGACAGTGAGAGGAGACAGAGAGAAAGATCTTCCATCTGCTGGTTCACTCCCCAAATGGCCTCAAATAGTGGGAGTTGGGCTGATCTGAAGCCAGGAGCCAGGAGCTTCTTCCAGGTCTCTTATGCAGGTACAGGGGCCCAAGTGCTTGGGGCCATCTTCTACTGCTTTCCCAGGCCATAGCAGAGAGCTGGATTAGAGGAGCAGCCGAGACTAGAACCGGTGCCCATATAGGATGATGGTGGGTTCACCCACTCTGCCACAGTGCCAGCCCCCAAATATTATTTCTAGACTAAAACCTTCAGACTTGCAGAGAAGTCTGCACCCCACTCCCATTTTTTTTTTAAGCTCGACTCTTGTTTTCACTTCTTGACTTTCATCTCATTACCATCTTTTTTCTTTTTGTCTTTTTAATATTTTATTGCAGAATAGTCTTAAATTTATCAAACAAAAATTGCAAAATAGTAATAGAGTTTCCATATACCCTCACCCCACCTCTCCTATTAGTAGCATTTTATATTCGTCTATTTTGTCACAATTAATGAAACACCCCTACTTTTCAAATCCTAACTCCTTTTATCTCTCTAATCTCCCAGCCTCTAGAAATCAAGGTTCTGAGTTCAGAGCTTTTTAAAGCGACAATCTTTTAGGCAGAGAATCTCACCTGACAAGTTTACATGATATCTCTTTTTAGGCTTATAGATGACTTATGGTCCTGATTTCGGAACCTAATGCATTTTTCTCATGCATTTTGTTGAGTCCTAACATTTACTTTTCTTGTAGAATTAGGTGCATTCACGGAAGGAAGTACCATTGCTTTTCCTGTTATTACCACAGAGGAAAATCTCAATTATCAGATACATTTGAAAAATAACTATCAAAATCTATTTGTCCAAATTTTAATGTCTTCCTAACTTTCTCAACTCAGTTGCTACTTGCTTTTCCTACATGCTAATCAACTGTGCTTTTGGATGGGACTTAGATCTGGTAAAAACTTGCATTTGAGCAATTCCATGCCCAGGTAGTTTAGGTGTGAGTGAAGCTCTGCAGGGCCACCAGCAGACTTCAGGGCAATACACACACACACACACACACACACACACACATATTATTTTCCAAGAAGCCTAAAAGGATAAGAAATGTACACTGGAAAGCTGCTTCTCCCTTGGTTTTACATGCATCCATAATGCATTAAATAAATGAACTAGTCAGAATATAATTTGTGTAGGGCCTATTTCTACCCTGGACCTCTCTTGCTAATCAGAATAGCCCAGCAAACATAGACAGGATGAAAGGGGAAAGAATCATTCTCTTAAAACGTTTATTTGAAAATACACCTATCTGGCGATAGAGAAGAGGGCCAGGCAGCACAGATTCTTAAATTTCTTTTTGTGTGTGACAGCTTTAAGACAAGTGATGGAATGAAACTACATGCTGAAAACAAGTTAAATTCATTCATTATAGGTAGAATGACCATGTAATTTCTTATCTGAGCCAGGACACTTTAAAGAATGAAATGGGATGCTATTAATAATTATTCTGATGGGGCTGGTATTGTGGCAGAGTGCGTAAAGTCACCACCTACAACAAGTCGGCATCCCTTATGGGCACTGGTTGAAGTCCTGGCTGCTCACTTCCAATCCAGCTCCCTGCTAATGCGCCTGGGAGAGCAGCAGAGGGTGACTCAAGTGTTTAGGCCCCTGCTACTCACATGGCAGACCCAGATGAAGCCCCTGGCTCTTCTATTAACTACACTTGGAGTACTAGTGAAAAATTTGGGTTAGGACCAGTACCTCTCTTGAGATTCTTTCCAATTCTGTGTTTCTCTCCTTCTGAAAAGCAATTGATCAGGAAAGAGAGCTCCGTAAATATTTAAAAAATAGTTTTAAATGGAGCAAGTATTTCTGGTTGCTAGCATTTTGTTTCTTTTTACAGATCAAAAGCATAGAAGTCTTTGCTATGAATATCTGTGAGCACTTCCTTTCTTCCTTTAACCACGTCGTCCGAGTTCACGTCTACGTGGAAGAAGTCCCTTGGAAGCGTTTGGAAAAGGTTATCTCACTTATTTATGTCCCAAGTTTAATGAAAGACATTGGGTTTATGGCGTATGCTGAAATTGTACTGAAAGCCAGTTTTTCCTAATTTTCAGAATGGAGTTCAGCATGTCCACGCATTTATTCATACTCCCACTGGAACACACTTCTGTGAGGTTGAACAGAGGAGGAGTGGTAAGAAAATATTTTTCATGCTTTGATTCTGCAAAAGGCACTTCAGAGTTGTTTTTTTTTTTTTCCTTTAAACAACTTGATTTATTAACATGGAGGAAACCATAGAGATTCTTAAGGCTTTTAAATTGTAAATGGGAATGAATATTGTGACTTTGAAGTACAGTAAAGAGTTATCTACATTTTGCCTTAGTATATAAAAATGAAATAATTAATTTTGTAACAAAATTTGAGGGCTGAGAGGGACTGTTCCTTCCTATTGTCTGATTTTGAGATGAGGTAAAAAGGCTCCGGCTAACAAAACTCCAAATCTCTGAACTTTCTGACCAATACATTTTGCATCATACCATGCTATAATTTTAGTAAGCTTTATAGGAAATCTTTACTAAGTAACAATCAAGTTTCTCAACATTTTATTTGCACAATAAAATCACTGATACTATTATAATTTCTATAAAATGAATTTCATTTAAAATAGCAATGCAAAAAAGTAATTTAAAATTTTTAAAAATAAAGAAGAATAGCAATGGCAATTATGCAATCTATTTATCAGGAAGTTTCAAAATTAACTGTGGAGCATTACTGTAGGCTTTGCTACTATTGATAATTAAACTTAGCAAGTAATAAAATTCTCAAAGCTTGTGTTCACTGATTTGCTGAGGTCATCAGAACAAACCTCAATAACTGGCTAAAAGTTTGGTTAGAAGATCTCCAGGACCCATAGAACCAAAGATGGTAGGAAGTCTCTATCCCAGTACAAAACAAAACTCAATAGTAATTATAAAGTGAGAGTGTGGACTGTGATCTATCTTCTTTGTCTTTTTTCCCTTCCCTCCCTTTTCCTTGTTTTGGGCCCTTGTTTTTTCTCTCTCTCTCTTTTTTTCTTTAGCTCTCTACAGTAAGAATTTGAGGTGGTATCCAGTAAATGTGGAGAATATTCCAAGGTTCATAAAATATAAGGACCCTTTTCATGCCGAATTCTTTCTCTCTAGAAAGTTCTAGCATGATAGCTTCATTTAGCACTTTTCACCATCTGTATTGAAGTTGAGACACAGCTAGTACCTTCTTGGTGTTTGATTAACAGTTAAAATATATTGTTCTACAACAGAGAATGAATAGTATTAAGCTTAAAAGCTGATTTTGTATCCCTTAAATGTGTAGCCATGTGATATCACTACCTGATGAACTTTTTGCTAGTTAAAATGGAAATAACTTCCTTCCTCCTTCTCTTTCATGTGACTTTGGAGGAAAAAGAACAATTTTCTGATTCTTAGGTGGATGTTTTGCCACCCAAACCACACTGATTACACTCATTAAATTAGAAACCCCAAACCAGCTCTGTCCAACTAAAAGATAACACAAGCCACATTTGTAATTTAAAAAGTTTCCAGTAGTCACATTAGAAAAGCAAAAATAAGTGAGGGAAATTAAATTTGATAATATGTATCATTTAACTCACTATATCCAAATATTTCAGTATGTAATAAATATAAAAAATTATTAGTGGAATATTTTACATCTGTGTACATTTTAAATGCTGTGTGTATTTTATATTCACAACACATTTCAGGTCAGGCTTGTCATATTTTAAGTGCTGAATAGCACCAGGATGCTTGTGGCTACTATATTGATCAGCACAGCTCAACACGGACTTTCAGTGACTTTGGTAATTCTTAGCATGTTCTTCATTCTGCTTTTAGTTATGTAGGATAATAGCAAAGGCTCAAATTAGACTCCAGGAAGCAGAATTTCAAAAATGAGAGCACTTATGAAAAATGCTTATATAAGTCCTTCACATACTATTATTCAACAATTAGCTTTTGAGGACTTATTAGGCATACGAGGAGCTGTAGATAAAGAGATGAATAAGGCATTCTCTAACCCTACGGAGTTAATAGTAGATGAATAATAGGAGATAGACTTTTAAACAGGTTTATTGCACTATGAGAAGGTAAAGACCACGTGGAGGGATCGGGCATGCTATGAAACCAAGAGGAGCAGAAAACTAACTCTTCCCACAGCTTGGCAGCCAGGAGGAAATATTTCAAGGGACTTTTGAAAAATACTTCTGAACACGCTAGGCATAGAAAGGGAAAAAGAATTGTAAATAGAAGACGCAGGGTCCATAGAGGTAGGATTCACCAAGGAACATTTGCAGGGAACTGAAATAGGTTGAGCGCCTGCCTCAGGCTGAGCTCCATATGTGCAAGTGGTTCACTCAATCGTCGAGAGGACAAAGCATTTGAGAAGCAGCCACAAGTTCAGTGGGTCCGAGCCCTGGAATGTCAGAAGTGGAGATGAGGATGGAAGTGGCTGAGACTGGACACTGAAGGGCCTCCTGTGCCATGCTAGCAATTGTCCCGTCACTCACAGGTGGATTTGCACAGTTGTTCAGCCCAGAGGATTCAGAGTCAGAAGGAACTGGATTTGAGCTTGAGCTCCACTACTAAAAATTTCTGTGATTGGAAGCAAGGGACTTAGACTACTTCCATGAGTTTTCATTTGTAAATGAAACGCACCAGCTCTTCCTCTGTAGTTGTCCAGAGAAATAAAGGAGATAAATACCACAACGATTCTACTGAGACACTTAGCAGAGTACCTGGCACATAGGAAACATTCCTAAAATAACACCTGGAATTACTGTTTGGAATGGCAATGGACAATGAGGCGAGGTCTTTAGTAATTAGGTGAGCAGATGAGTGTGTGTGTGTGTGTGTGTGTGTGCGTGTGTGTGTTCATGCTTTCGCTCAGCAATCCTGACTAAGATTTGTCGAACAGTCTGGAGAAACAGGCCACGCTGAGACGTTTGGAGCCTTGCTGCCCAGATGAACACGTGATGGTGTCTGGTTTGAGGCAGTGGAAGTCGAGGTGGAGAGACTGAGAGATTGGCGGGGGGCGTTATGTGGGGCATTTGTGAAGTGTAACCGATCAGTCTCGGTGGTTGAGTAGGCATGCAAGGATAGAGAGCAGAAGGGGTTCCAGGTGACCCTGAAGTGGGAGAGCCTGGGAATGACTAAGGAGAATGCCCACAAGGAGGAAGTTTCCAGGGGGAAGCCAGTGAGTTTGGAATAACTGGATGGTAATAACTGACGGTAGGTGAAGACGTAATAAGGAAGGAGATGATTCCAGAAAAACATAGACTGAGAGGAGGAAAGGTGAGAGTTCCAGGAAAAAAATGCCTTAATTTCAGCTCTGGGCAGTTTAAGGAGAAAGAGACTGAAAAATGGTCAAGAGACAGAATGGTTGGGACAGTGGCATCATGGAAGCAGAATAAATATTTTTAAGGAACCAGCGATGATTATCGAGATAATAGGATGCATAACAAATAGTCCCCTGTGCAATGTCTCAGCTCAAGAAGCTGACTTTTTCATGGGAGTCTGGTCTGTGTTTGAGTGTCTAGACGTTGTGTGTGTGAGTTGAGGGGTGGAGGTGAGAATATGGCTCCTCTCCATGCAGTTATGCAGGAGCCCAAGTTGATGGCATCCTTACAGTCTTAAGCCTTTGTTTTTAGATTCACCTTGAGAGTAGCTCCTCAGATAGCCAGCACAGGAAGAAAAACTTGGAGGAACAAAAAAAGGGACAGAACCCCACAAGACTAGGTACCAGGCCTTCAAATAGCACATAGCCCTTCTATTGGCGAGAACCCAACAGCACTGCCATGGCTAAGTGCAAGGTGGGGCTGCCAAGTGTGGTCCAGCTGGGTATCCAGGAGGAAGAGGAAATTTATTTAGTCCCCCCCCCCGCTCCCAGAGGATTAAGAAATTTGGATTAAAAGAAGACTTGCAGAGAAACTGTGCGGTTGACAAACAGGCATCAATCGGTGACTTCCACCAGAGTGCTTTTGGCAGAGCTATGGAGGAGGAAGCAAAGTGACCAAAGACAGGGTTCTGCTGATCATGAAAAGAAAACAGGCTTCTTTTTATACCCTTGTTCTTTCCAGGAACTACTGGGGCTTGAGATCAGCCTGAATTCTAATCACCTGGCTGCTGCAGAGTGGAAAAACTAGCCACCACAATCAGGGTGAAGTGTTTTCTCTCTGCTGAAAGCTAAAAGCTTCAGGGGACTGAGATCATCATGGCAGGGTTCCCAGAAGCTCCAGCTTGACTCATCTAGAGTCCAGCCCCTCTCCAGTGTCATGCAGGGCTGGCAGGGACCAGGGTAGAGGCAGAGACATCTGTTCCCTTAAATGTGTGCAGCTATATGTGTGCATATGTATATGAGTGTGTGTATCTTCCAGGGCTATGTCTACAAAGATGTTTGTATTGTCTCTCTTTGGAGAGCTGGGACGTAGGCTCTTTTGGTAGAAAAGTTTAATTCTTAATTTTTTTATTATCCAAGAACTATGACCACAGATATTATGATGTATGTCTATGTTACAATCAGTGTCATAAGAAATGTCCTGGTGTAGTCTTAATTGAAGAAAATAAATCTATCTCTATCTCTCTCTCTCTCACACACACACACACACACACACACCCCAGTTCATGCAATGTGAAGGCTATTATTATAAACCCCTGAGTAGTGCCTTTGGTAAGAAGTTGTCTTACAATGATAAGACTTCTACCCCTTCAAACATAGGTCCTGGGATAGGCATTTGGCACAGTAGTTAAATGCTGTTTGGGATGCCTTCAAGTGCCTGAGTTTGAGTTCTGACTCTGCCTTCCAATCCAGTTTCCTGCTGATGCAAACCCTGGGAGGCAGCAGGTGGTGAGCCAAATACTTGGATTTTCCTAGCCGTGTGGGAGACCTGGTTTGAGTTCCTGGCTGCTGGCTTTGGCCTGGCCCATCCTGGGTGTTGCAGGCATTTGGACAGTGAATTAGTGAATGGGAGATTCTCTCTCTCTCTCTCTTTCTCTCTCTCTCTCCCTTGCCTTTCAAATAAATGAATATTAAAAAAAACATAGGTATTTAATTACACAGTCAGCTGTGGAACTCCCAAAAAGGACTCTTGCCATCAGAATATGTAACTGAGTTTCTCCTCGTAGATTTGATTTATTCTCTCT